CACACACACACACACACACACAATAATGTTGTGTTTTTGTCATAGGGAATGGTTCTTCCTGCTGTCTCACGAGGTCTTGAACCCCATGTACTGTCTGTTCGAGTACGCCGGCAAAGACAACTACTGCCTGCAGATTAACCCCGCCTCCTCCATCAACCCTGACCACCTCAAATACTTCAAGTTCATTGGCCGGTTCATCGCTATGGTGCGACTGACCTCTGAAGTATCTTAGTTTGAAATGCATTGAAAGCTTCTGAATATTATTTGTACGTTCTCTCTCACACAGGCTCTGTTTCATGGGAAGTTCATAGACACGGGCTTCTCTTTGCCTTTTTATAAGCGCATCCTGAACAAACCTCTGGCTCTGAAAGACCTGGAGTCCATCGACCCGGAGTTTTACAACTCGCTCATCTGGATCAAGTGAGAATGAGTTACAGAGATAATAAAAGTCTGATAATTAGGGATATGAATTACTAGGAAATTAAGAATCGTTATTGGTCCTAACTATGAAATGTTTTTCCATAGGGATAATAATATAGAGGAATGTGGCTTGGAGATGTATTTCTCGGTGGATAAGGAGATTTTGGGAGAAGTCACCACACATGAACTCAAACCTGATGGAGGAAACATTCAGGTGACAGAGGAAAATAAAGAGGAGTATATCAGGTAAGAAATCTCATTTAAACAGATTTATTACAGACAATATTTTTAATTTAGAAATATACTGGTAATCCGGGATATGAATTACTAGGAAATTAAGAATCCCAATTGGTCCTAACTACGAAGTGTTTTTCTATAGGGATAATAATATAGAGGAATGTGGCTTGGAGATGTTTTTCTCGGTGGATAAGGACATTTTGGGAGAAGTTACCACACATGAACTCAAGCCTGATGGAGGAAACATTCAGGTGACAGAGGAAAATAAAGAGGAGTATATCAGGTAAGAAATCTCATTTAAACAGATTTATTACAGACAATATTTTTAATTTAGAAATATATTTTTTAAATTATATATATATATATACAAGCTTTATAATGGCAGTGAGTTGTTTTTGTTTTTTTCAATAGTTCAAAAGAAGTCCAATAAAGCGCATCCTTCCATCATAAAAAGTGTCCCGCATGACTCCATATCAGTGTTTTATATTTCAAAATATTATATTAGATGTATCATATATACAGTATATAGTTATATGAATAATAATATAACTATTTTAAATATTATATAATTTTTTTTACATTTACAAAAAAGTTAGCTACTAGGACTGTAAAAATATCTTATGAAAATTCAATGCGAGTTCAAAGTATTGATTATTTGTCTCTTGTGTTACATTTGTGTCTTCAGCATATTTTTTAAAACAATTAAGAATTTTGTACCAAAATAAACAAATTTGCCATATTAGCCATAATGTCAGTGAGTGATTGTGAAATCAAACGTGTTGCAGGTTGGTTGCTGAGTGGAGGTTGTCCAGAGGGGTTGAGGAACAGACTCAGGCGTTTCTCGAGGGCTTTAATGAGGTCTTGCCGCAGCAGTACCTGCAATACTTTGATGCCAAAGAACTGGAGGTACAAACGACACTTCATAATGTTCAAAGGCTTTTTTAATGTCCAAATGTCACAAGACATTTTCAACTGTATTTTGTATCTGCTGTTAATATCAGATGTACTGTATATAAAAAAGGCCATAGTTTCTCTAAATGTAAACAGTGTTTAGTACAGTATGTTCTGAACGTGTAATTGTGCTGTAGGTGATGCTGTGTGGGATGCAGGAGATCGATCTGGTCGACTGGCAGAGGAGCACCATCTACAGACACTACGCTCGCAGCAGCAAACAGATCGGCTGGTTTTGGCAGGTTAGACTAACCAGTAGCTGTTAATCTCACACTTTAGCATCAGACCACTGGTTAAATTAAACCCAGATGTTCATAAATGTGGAGATGCATCGTCTGTTGTCTGTCTGTGTTTAGTTTGTGAAGGAGATCGACAATGAGAAGCGCATGCGTCTGCTGCAGTTTGTGACCGGCACGTGCCGACTTCCTGTCGGGGGATTCGCTGACCTTATGGGTAAGTGTCAAAGTTTAACTGTGTCATGCAAAATCATTGGTAATAAATATTAAAATGACTGTAATGTAGTATCTTTCTGTTCTGATCAGGGTTATTCAGGCTCGCACCTCCAGAGAACTAAATGCATAAATTACACAAAGGACTTTTTCAAACACTATGGAACTGTGCAATATTTACATATGTGCAAATACATATATACACACAGTTTTTTTCTGTGGTGTATTGTTTGATGTATTTATAAATCTTTCTTCGTATGTTTTTTTTTACCACAAGGAGTTGCAAATTGAATCTCGTTGTACAAAATGTGCAATGACATTAAAGTATTCAAATTCAAATTATTATAGTTAGCTAAAAACTGAAACCATAAAAAAAAACATTTTTGTTACTTGAAATAATAATAAAGTTACATTTCATCTAATTGGCAAGGAAACATTTCTCATTTTCAATTAAACTCGATTTACTAAAATAACTAAAACTAAAATAAAAATTAATGAAAATATGTAGACATATTTAAAACAAATAAAAAATAAAAATGGCAAAAACACACAACTAAATTACTAAACCCTTAACTAAAAATACAAATGGAAAAGTTACAAAATAAAAATGTTAAAATATTAATAAAAACTATAATTCTGTCTCTGATACTTAACATGTTTGATGGAAAGTGAATAATTAATTAAATCATAAAAATTTTAAATTAAATTATTTTAAAATAAAAACAATCGCCATAAAAACTTACTAGAAAAAGATAAAATATTTTGTTTGCCTGCATGTCATGTGACCATTAATCAACATCATCGAGCCTTTTTGAAATATTAACTTAAAATCTTAGGGGAACTTCAAGTAGATATTTTAAAAATAGATATTCAAAATTCATCTAAATCAAATAGTATCTTCCCCTTACCATGTATGAAAGCAAGTAAACACTCACCTCACATCGCTGAATGTCTTCATAGAGCCTATTGGTTAAAACGCAATGCCAGTCCTTTCTATTGCACTTTAAAGAATATGATTGTTTATTGATTTCTGTAGGGAGCAATGGGCCGCAGAAGTTTTGTATTGAGAAAGTGGGGAAAGAAAACTGGCTGCCAAGGAGCCACACATGGTAAGATCAGGAATCATAATGTACACTATACTAGTGCTGGGCGGTATACCGGTTCATACCGAATACCGGTGTTATTTTTGTTATGATATGAATTTTTTAAATACCGCAATACCGGTGTATGTCGCTTAAACAACGTTCGGAACGCGACACTGTTTGAAATGGGTCCCTTTTCACTGTTGCACTGTGGTGAGGGAACAGCTGTATGTGTTACTAAGCGTGAAAGTTCCGAAACTGAAGCTGTAGAACTAATAGAACGTGATGACACAGAAGAACTCATCAACAATATCCACATTGACCGCCACAAATATCCACATAAAAATGACTACTTTAATGCGAGAAAATCTCATTCTCATTACTGAAAACCAAAACAAAACCGTTGGATGAGCTTCATGTTCTTCATGCAAAATATACTTTCTTTTGATTCTGGGTGAACTGTGACCTGGATATGCCTATAATAAGAGTATATCTATGCACGTATGGTTGGATAAACATATAGCAATAGCCCAAAATGCCATTTATTCACTTTCTCACCAATCTTGAATTCACAAACTACGTGACTGAAGCTGTAACGTTCGCTGTTTTAGTACGATCAGATCTGCAGCTAGAAATCTTTATCATTTTATACTTTTAATGTGAAAAAAAAAAAATGTAGAGAAAAACTAAAGAAAATGTGCTTTATTTTGAGGGGAAAAAAAAGTGTGTGTGTTTTAGAGATGTTACGGCATTTGGTTGATGCTGAAGATTTAACACTGAACTCATGGACATTTTGTGTATTTCAGAGATTTAGCTTCTTGTTCAGATGTAAAACAAAAAACCAGGACTGTAAATAAATACCAATAGTTATCAGAGTAGATTTAGATGTAGGATTTGAACACGCAAACCATGCGAAGAGTTTCTTGTGTTCAGTTTAGCACCGATTCTGATTCCGAGAGGATGTGAATGTAAAATGATTCATATGCATTTCTTTCCAAAACATGATTTTGATTCATTCACAAAGGGTCTGTAGAATTGGAGCCCGTATCATGTTGAATTGACATCAGCATCTGTTATTTTCATTAGGATGTCTTGCTACAGTCAGGGCACTTTATTTTAGCTCTAAACAGCAGATTGTTTGATTTAAAGTGAACTGACAAATAAAGGTCACCTCACGTCTGATGTTACGTGTTGTTGTCATGTAAAGGCCAGATGGATGGCGTACCTCTTTATTTTCTTACCACTGTAAATCATGCAACAATTCGCCTGTGATCTATAACATGTTAACATCAATTAGGATGGGTTTCATGATTTGAATTATATTTATTTTTCTTAAGCGAATGTGTACAGTTGGATGATTAATATAAAAATACCGATTTATTCTCAGCTGAAGAAATAAAAAAAAATACATTTGAAAATGTGTCGCTTCTTTTATTCTCGTTTATTCTGTACACTTAAGATTAAATGTTTTTTGATGAACAGAGTAAATAAAAAAAACTGTTATATCAGATTTCCTGTTTCAGTGCTAAGCTTTTATGCCGCAGGTTATTATTTAAAACAAAAATAAATATATAAAAATGTCTTGTAATGGTTTATAACTGAAATACCATTATTATTATTAATATTATTAAGGATATTCAGTGTTCTATTGTAAGCAATTGTCCTTTTGACCAATTAATTCATATTAATATTATTATAAAAAATGTATATTATTATATTAATTTAAATTCATATGATAAACCTTACTACACTCATATAAAAAAAATAAAAATTAGGCGGTGCATTAAAAACCATGAGAGAACTCTTTAAATAAAATAAATCAAGAACGAATTTTACAAATTATGTATATCATTCTTCAGTTATATTGTTTTTATTTAATTTAATTTATGTCATTTAATTTCATTTTTAATTTTTATTTTTTTTCTGTTTTTTTAAAGACACTTTTTAGTAAAAATTACAAACAGAACCGGAGAGTTTTTTCTTGTTCCGTGTTTCCGGTCGGACTTCTGTCGTGTCGCACTCTTCCGCTTCGCCTCCATTAAAGGACTCAGCGACGGTTCGCGGGTCAATTTTTTAAACTTGTTTGGCAGAATCCGATTTTAATCGGAGCCATCCGAACAGCAGCCATGGTAAGACTTCATTATTTGACTTATTAGTTCATGATTAAACCATGACTTTGATATTTCTGCTCTTTAGTTGAGTTTTTGAATTCAAACGCTCTACGTTTTCAGTACGTTGTTGATCCGTAGAGCAAACCAGCTTGCGATTTCTTAGGAGAAAAGTAGCCGAAAACAAATTAAATGAGGGGTTTTTAACGCATTATAAATGGTAGTTTGTTACTGAAACAAGTTTTTTTTCCTCTAAATCCAGGCTGGAGAATGAATGAGCGCTAATGCAGCATAGAGTTCGATTTAAATAATTTTATTCTAACGGTACATTAATGTATAAGTCTGAAAGCAACATAATAAAGTATGTTTTGCAGCGCATTCATAAGTCTATTGTTTACGTTATTTACGCTCTGCTAAAGTGAGTAAGAATAAGCTGTTTGTGCAGCGCAGTCAGGAAGAAGACTTTTATTTTGTAAGCCGATTATTTCCGTCGTGCTTTATTTTTATTTATATTTATATTTAAATACATAGATCTGCATGCTTTAGGTATTTACATTAAATGCTATTTATTTCCTTTCGAAATAAACCTCCAAAACACAATGGACACTAAGAGTAATCTGTGCACCTTGATTGAAGTAAACTTCAAAATAAAAGTCCTGATCTGCTTCCAGTAATTAAAGGAGTAGTTCACTTCCAGAATAGAAGAATAATGTCCTGATAATTTATTCACCCCCATGTTATCCAACATGTTCATGTGTTTCTGTCTTAAGTCGCATGTAAGCCGATTCCGTCGTGCTTTATTTTTATTTATATTTAAATACATAGATCTGCATGCTTTAGGTATTTACATTAAATGCTATTTATTTCCTTTCGAAATAAACCTCCAAAACACAATGGACACTAAGAGTAATCTGTGCACCTTGATTGAAGTAAACTTCAAAATAAAAGTCCTGATCTGCTTCCAGTAATTAAAGGAGTAGTTCACTTCCAGAATAGAAGAATAATGTCCTGATAATTTATTCACCCCCATGTTATCCAACATGTTCATGTGTTTCTGTCTTAAGTCGCAAAGAAGTTGAGGTTTTTGAGGAAAACATTCCAGGATTTTTCTTGGAGGTGCTTCTGTGACTGTAATGTTGGTTTTAACTCTTTCCTCTTGCTTGTCTTCCAGACGGTCGGTAAGAGTAGTAAGATGTTGCAGCACATCGACTTCCGGATGCGCTGTATCCTGCAGGACGGCCGGATATATATTTATATTTAAATACATAGATCTGCATGCTTTAGGTATTTACATTAAATGCTTTTTATTTCCTTTCGAAATAAACCTCCAAAACACAATGGACACTAAGAGTAATCTGTGCACCTTGATTGAAGTAAACTTCAAAATAAAAGTCCTGATCTGCTTCCAGTAATTAAAGGAGTAGTTCACTTCCAGAATAGAAGAATAATGTCCTGATAATTTATTCACCCCCATGTTATCCAACATGTTCATGTGTTTCTGTCTTAAGTCGCAAAGAAGTTGAGGTTTTTGAGGAAAACATTCCAGGATTTTTCTTGGAGGTGCTTCTGTGACTGTAATGTTGGTTTTAACTCTTTCCTCTTGCTTGTCTTCCAGACGGTCGGTAAGAGTAGTAAGATGTTGCAGCACATCGACTTCCGGATGCGCTGTATCCTGCAGGACGGCCGGATATTCATCGGCACGTTCAAAGCGTTCGACAAACACATGAACCTGATCCTGTGCGATTGTGACGAGTTCAGAAAGATCAAGTAAGTCCTCGTGAACCTGAAACTCGGGCTGTTATGAACTAGGGCTGAATTAGTCGACAATAAAAAAAATTGTCTACAAATATTTCTGTTGTCGAATAGTCGTTTGATCTCACATGACCTAAAGAAAGAGCCTGCAGTAACACGGTTTGACCAGTGTGGCGCTGTAGCGCAAGACTAATTAATCTCTCCTGGAATGAAAATTCAAGAGAAGACTGACTCCGCAGCCGATTTACTAAATTTTCGGCTATAAAGCAGCTGTCCAGTGTGGATCTAGCTAATGATGGAATCTTTTTATTAATGAATGCAAAAATAAATAAATGCAAATACATAAAAAATCATTGTTTAAAGTGATAGTTTGGTTTGCGTAGATGAAAACTTGATCTAGCTCAGGACTGTTTTGAGTACTATAACACTAATGGAGCTAATATTGTGAAAAATAATTTATCGAAAATAAAATGTCTTGGCACTTTTTGTTCCATATGACTTACAAAAGGAGACGTTAAGGCAGATTAATGCATCATTCAGTCAGTCAATTACTTCATACAGTTAATTAAATGGTGAATGAGAGTCTGTAATCTCGTTTTGTGTGCCAAATAATTTATTTGTAAAAAATAATAATTGTAATTGTACAATAGTAATAATTGTTTGACATTTGACATTCACGTCAAAGCTGATGTGATTACCGTGTTTTATTTATTAGTTTGGATATGTGTAACTCAGTATTTTAACTAATTGTAAAAGCGGAATAATCGAGCAAAGCCTGCTGATTCATTGAAATAATCGTTAGATTAATCGAGTGTCAAAGTAATAATTTGTTGCAGCCCTATTATGAACATTCACAAATCAATATTCCTTAGGGATGCACAATATTGGATTTTTGCCGATATTTTTCAACTCATTTTGGCCGATACCGATATATTTCCTTTTTTTTGGAAACAACACCAAGTCTCTCCTGTGCAGACATAAGCAAAATATTTTTAATTTTGGTTAGTTTTTAACAAACTTATTTGTTCGAATTAAATAAACGGCAATGAAGGTTTTTTGACAGTACATTGAAGCTTTGAAAATAACTATAGCCTAAATAAACTATATATCAATCGCTGTAATCTCGTTTTGTGTGCCAAATAATTTATTTGTAAAAAATAATAATTGTAATTGTACAATAGTAATAATTGTTTGACATTTGACATTCACGTCAAAGCTGATGTGATTACCGTGTTTTATTTATTAGTTCGAATATGTGTAACTCAGTATTTTAACTAATTGTAAAAGCGGAATAATCGAGCAAAGCCTACTGATTCATTGAAATAATCGTTAGATTAATCGAGTGTCAAAGTAATAATTTGTTGCAGCCCTATTATGAACATTCACAAATCAATATTCCTTAGGGATGCACAATATTGGATTTTTGCCGATATTTTTCAACTCATTTTGGCCGATACCGATATATTTCCTTTTTTTTGGAAACAACACCAAGTCTCTCCTGTGCAGACATAAGCAAAATATTTTTAATTTTGGTTAGTTTTTAACAAACTTATTTGTTCGAATTAAATAAACGGCAATGAAGGTTTTTTGACAGTACATTGAAGCTTTGAAAATAACTATAGCCTAAATAAACTATATATCAATCGCTGCAACTATATATCAGGCTGCCGATGCACGTGCTATTACGGTTTACTCTATCACACACCGAACACGTCATTCTGTACGTGCTTTCACAGA